GAACTGGCTCTCCCTCCTGCAGCAGTTTGGGCAGATCTCCTCACAACCTTGATGGCCTTCCTATCCTCTCTATGGAGCTGATCTCAGACTACTGGTTGGAGACCGGGGGGGGGGGGGGCCTGGGCCCAAACTACCCCAAAGTACCTCAAGACTGACGGTCCCCTCCTATCCAGTCACCACCAACTTAAACACACCCACAAAATGGCGCTTCTCCCCAGATGGGTAGACCCAATGGCATTATACCCCACTGAGGTCCCTCCCCTCTAAATCTCTAGTAATTTCCCAACCCAGAGTTGGCAACCCCAATTGACTGAACCGTTTTGAAAAATGTTCGACAGGCAGCTGGTGTTTACAGCTGGGTTTTTTACCCTGAATAAAATGTCATAAGGACATAAGAGTTGGATCAGGCCAAAGGCCCATCCAGACCAGTACTCTGTATCACACAGTGGTCTTTGGTCTTAAACATGGTTGTTGGTCTTAAACATGGCTAAGAGGTTTACAATGTTCACTGAATGATAAAAATCAGTTTTACTCAAAGCTCACCTTTGATTCAGGGTCTCTTTGCTGTGGTGTTGCAGCATGACAACTTCTTCACCCAAAGAGTGATTAACACGTGGAATTCACTGCCACAGGAGGTGGTGGCGGCTACAAGCATGGACGGCTTCAAAAGGGAATTAGATAAGCATATGGAGCAGAGGTCCATCAGTGGCTATTAGCCCCAAGGTATAGATAGGGGCTCTGGGGCAAGTGATGCTCTGTCTGCTTGGTGCTTGGGGGGGGAGCAACAGTGGGAGGGCTCCTAGTGTCCTGGCCCCACTGCTGGACCCTCCTGATGGCCCCTGGTATTTCTGGCCACTGTGTGACACAGAGTGTTGGACTGGATGGGCCTTTGGCCTGATCCAACATTGGTGTCTCTTATGTTCTTATGTTCAATTACGCAGGCGCTGAAGCTCAGCATTCCTTTCATCTTCAGTGCGTTGCTGGCGTCTTTTCCTGTCATTTTCAGCCTTGTGGCGTTCAGCGTCAGCGTGTGCTTGTGGTGGGCTCTGTCTTTTTTGGTGTGGCCTGCTTGTATTATGGGCTGCCATAGTGATGTACAGAAAATAATCTTGTCTGAGTGGGTGTGTTTCCCCAGCCCAGTTTGAGGAAACACTCAGTACAATCCTGTAGAGCAGAATCAGATCTTGTACTTTATGGATCAACAAAGGAGGAAGGTACAGATCCAATAAGGTTTTGGACCCCACAGCTCTCCCTGAGGTTACAATGGGAGACATAATGTTTTATACCCCCTATGACAGTTGGAAATAAATCATAATGATTGGGTCCATCAAACTTTGTCATATATCCGTCACACCATTCTGATTGGGCCCAGGCCTGTAGGTTGGACTTTCTCAGGCAAAAATATACCTCCTTCAGTTGAACAATGGGCCTTCCCAGGCTATGAAGTGATAAAAAGTATCTAATGTAACAGATATTAGTACATTGCATAGTATGGTTTCCATCTAACGCAAGCTACCTGACATCAGGGACATGCGCAGTTACAGCTGGCCATAACAAGCAAGGTCACAAGCTTCAGCATTTTACCTTCCCAGCATGCATCCAAACAAGTCACAAATGAACCAAAGTTAATACCTGAATACATTCATGATGTTAGAATCATAAATGGCACTTAACATATGTACCATGGAAGTGCTAGATGCACGTGTTTCATAAACTGTGCGTACAACAATAGAATATGGGCATCAAGGCAATTCAGTGGGGCTGGCAAAGTGTTGTGGGAGTGATCTGGCCCAGGATATGACAAGGCTTCCTAGCCAGAGATTTCTGCCTCTCAATAATTCACTCGGCTGGGAAGAAAACCCGTCCCTGATTCTTGTCCCTGTGGGGGAACCAGCTATGCTGGTCGACGGAGGTGTGAGGAATCTGGGAGTGGGGCAGGATTCGTCTCCTCAGCCAGTCATTCCCATTCCTTCTCTTGCCTTTTCTGCACTTTCAGGTGTGGGGGCCATCAGTGAAGATGGAAGCGAAGCTCTCTGGGGCAGGAGAAGCTCCGTTGGAGGAAGGGCAGAGGGAGCAGGCCCAGGAGCAGGCCCAAGAGGCCCTGTCACGTGGTAAGGGTGCCTCATTCCCGGATGGGATTGGCGGACATAGTGAAGTTGTTGGGTTGAAGATTTAGGACATGGGGGGAAAGGAAATACCGCTACACACAATACAGAGCACACTTCTGGGACTCCGGGCCAGAGGATGTAGTGATGGCCACTCACTCAGGGGGGGGGGATTAGACAGATTCACCGGAGGATATTGAGGAGGTCCCCCATTTTAAATACTTTGGGGTCTGCTTTGACCAGAGAGGAACTTGATCAGTAGTGCAAGGTGCTCATGTTAAAAGATTGGCTACAGCAGCATCCAGTATCATCCGTGGTTTCTTTTCTTCATCTGAGCCTCAGTGTATCGCAGCCAACATCAAACTGTTTCACGCAAAGGTGGCTGTGCAGAGTTTATATGGCGCTGGTATCTGGAATGACAAAACAGGGGAGTCCTTCGATTCAGTTCTTCTTAAATCCTGTGTTCCATCTGCAGAATTATGAACTGTGTAGCTGGGGTAGCCCTTGAAGCTGAATTAGGTGAACCCTCTTGAAACTCAGGCCTGGTTGAAGACTTTTCCCCTTGCAGTTAAAATTATCCACACTGACATCCAAGAGGGATACATAAACTTAGAGAGGACTCCTATGTTTCCCATTGGGTTAAACTTGTCGAGAAGTTACTACAGTTCCTCAATCTTTCCCTGGATTCCCTTTATTCAGTTACCAGACAGAAAGCCATGAGAATGATTACGAAACCTCTATTTAAGTACGATTATAACAGTGCACTCTGTGGAGCATGACCTGTTTGCTCTACTCAATTTGTTGGCATTCTTCCATATGGAGAGCTCCCCAATTACTGCTTATATTTGACTATTCCTCGCTGTAGGCGGCCTTTATGTGAAGGCACACTTCTTTAGATACAGTGGAAATTACCAGTCCATACACATAGGTAGAGGGCGAGCAGTTAATTAGCATAATGAAGATGCTCAACAGATTCAAGGACCAAAGAAGAATAAAAAAGCTTAGTTTATATGGTTACCATCTGTCTGGGTTTAATTCCAGAGGAAAACATAAGTGAAGGAATTTCAAAATCGGAGATTGATGGGCAGATGTAGCCAGTTTGGTGTAGTGGTTAAGTGTGGACTCTAATCTGGGAGAACCGGGTTTGATTCCCCACTCCTCCACTTGCACCTGCTGGCTGACCTTGGGTAAGCCATAGTTCTGTCAGAGCTGTCCTTGAAAAGGAGCAGTTTGGGTCAGAGCTCTCTCAGCCCCACCGACCTCACAGAGTGTCTGTTGTGGGGAGGGGAAGGGAAAGGAGTTTGTCAGCAGCTCTGAGACTCCTTTAGGTAGTGAAGGGCAGGGTGTAAATCCAATCTCTTCTCCTTCTTAATTGTGGAATGCTGCGAGTAATTAAGGAGTGTGAAACTCAAGAGTTCGTTTGCCCTGGTGATGGAGGGGAGCGAGTCTGCCTGCTTGAAACTGCAGGCACCTCCTCTCCCAGGAGGAGAAGCTGCTCCTGAGAAGAGGGATGGGGGGGTCCTTCGAGCAGGCAGAGCCCCACCCCGTCCAGGGAAGAGGGCTCCCTTGAATCCTGCCCTGCTGCAGCAGTCGGGGTCCCCTCGGAAGGAAACTGCGCCCCAGGCAGAAGGGGAAACACCCGCCCCACCAGGGCTTTTTCCTCCTTTACTAAAGGGAGGGGGCAGGAGTCATATCCAAAGTCGCCCTCCCCCAATTCCCCCTCGGGACTTGGCAGAACACCCTCCCCCGTTCTGGTGCTGGTACTACCACCCATGAGTCCCCTCCCACCAAAGAAGAAGCAGCCCCGCTGAGAATTGCCTGCAAGGAGGGAAGGGGGGGGGAAAGTTTCCTTAGACCTCAAAAGAGTCCCGTTTTGAGAATCAGGAAAGACGTTGCAAGAACCCGGATTTCCAAGGCGATCCCAGTGCCCGGGGAGCGCAGCCCTGTGCAGAGTTACTCCAGAGGAATCTCACTGAGCTGCATGGGGGGGGGGGTGCCTCTGAGGGGAGCTGTAATGTATAGTGGCCATTTCACCACTAGGTCGGAACTGGCCACTGTAAATAGCCAATCAGGTGTGTGGGGGTGTGTTTTGGGTGCGGGGGTTGTTGCACAAACCAGCCTGCGAGCTGGTTACTTTGTCTTGTTCCTGAGGCTAAGCTGAAATCACTGGTCCGTCTGTGTACTTTTCACTGGTGACGAAGGTGGGATTCTAACTCCCATGAACAACCACCTGGACAAAGATCAAGCACCTCATCGAGCCCCAACGACTGCTGCAAGCCGCTCTGCTTCGCACCCTGGTTCTCCGGTAGCCGCTCACCGCTCCGCTCTGTACCTCGCTCTGCTGACCCCGAGAGCAGCAGTGCTTCCTGCCTCGCTCTAGCCTCCGCTCCTGAGCTACCCTCACCACGTGTAGCAGTACAATGGCGATCGCCCCTTTCGACATCTCCCGCCCCGCACAGTGGGAGACCTGGCTCAAGATCCTGGAGAGCTACTTCCACTGCTACAACATCGTAGACCCGGGTAAGAAAAAGGCCCATCTTCTCCGGTCCTGTGGCATAGACACCGTCCTGCTGCTTAAGGACCTCATTGCACCTAAGCAGACCAAGGACGAGTCCTATGTGGTGCTGGTGAAAGCACTGACCGACCACCTTTCACCAAAGCCCAGAAAGTTTGCTGAGCGCATGGACTTCTTTGCGCGGGTCCAGGGGCCGGACGAGCCGGCCTCTGAGTTCTTGGTCGGGCTCCGGCAGGCGGCCACCAGGTGTTCATTTCCCCACCTGGCGGACGCCTTGCTAAACCAGTTCCTTTGGGGTCTCCGGGAACCCAAACTCTGGAGGAAACTGGTTAGCCAGGACGACCTGGACCTAGACAAGGTGCTCAGGGAGGCAGCGGCCTATGAGAAGGCGCACCAAGACCACCGCGTGCGGGCAGTCCATCGCACTCAAGCAACGCTCGAGTCAGACGACTCCGAGAACGATGAAATGCTCCAGGTCCGCCGCCGTCCCTCCCGGCAGCATCGTCCCGGGGGAGCACAATCGGCCAAAGCCCCCTCGGCACCATCCCAATGCGCCAGCTGTGGGGAAGCGCACCAACGCCGCGGTTGCCGGTTCCGGGACGCCGTCTGCCGCTCCTGCAACAAGCTGGGCCACATCGCCAGGGTCTGCTGCTCCTGACGACCACCACAGAAGACTTCGACCCACCAGACCTCGGATCAACACACGGACTTGCATACCCTCTCAGCCCACCCCCAGCCGCACCAGGTATGTAACTTGCCCCCCCTATAGCCCAAATAAGGTGCACCTGATGGTGCTTATTGAGGGGTCCCCCTGCAGCATGGAAATAGACACTGGCTCTTCTTATTCCATAATTTCGGAGGAAACGCTGTGCTCGCTCTGCCCACGGGGGACCCCCTCTGCGTAAGCCACAGGGGTTTAAGTTACGGGACTTTAACAAGAACCCTGTGGCGGTTTAGGGCTGGGGCAAGTTGGTGCAGTTTCAGGACTTCCGTGGACAATTGGACTTGCTGGTGGTGATGGGGAGACTCTTTGTGTGTGGGTGTCTTTTGGACCGAGGGGGGAGGGATGTAATGTATCCATCTCAGACCACGTGCGTGGCCATTTCACCACGCGGTCATGCGAAGCAGCCGAGCTTTGCTCTCTGGAACAATGGGACAAGCGGATCCTAGCCGGCACCTATCGGCAGGCTAGGCTCCCGGCCGAGAGCCTATGGAACTCTTGGCCACTGTAAATAGCCAATCACTTGTGTGTGGGTGTGTTTTGGGTGTGGGGTTGTTGCACATATAAACCAGCCTGCGAGCTGGTTACTTTGTCTTGTTCCTGATCTAATAAAGTACGCTAAGCTGAAATCACTCGTCCGTCTGCGTACTTTTCAGGAGCCAGCCGAAGTCCAGCCGGGGTGGGGTGGGGGGTCTGGGCGCTGCTCTCTGCGGGGAGGGCGGGAAGAGAAGCCTCCTCTTTCCTGGGCCTGCACCTCTGAAAGGGTTAAAGCAGCCGAGCTCTTGGCTAGAGAGGCTGAGAAAGGGGTGGGTGTGGGTGGAAGCGGTTGCTTCTGCAAGGGGAAAAGGAGAACAGGGAGGGCTTGGGGGGGGTGCGTGCATGCGCGCGTGTGTGTAACAGCCAAGAAAAATATTTGCAGCCGGACCCTGGGAAGGTTTCCTCTCGAGTAAGTCATCATGGCAGTCTGGGAAGACAGACGGTCTGCTCTCCCGTGTGTGTGTGTGTGTGTGTGTGTGGGGGGGGTGATCTTCTGAGGGATGTTTTCCTTTGTTAGTCGGGTTGGAGCCCCTCCCGGCAGGGTCTGAAAGGGGATGTACTAAAAGGAAGGACAGGATTGCCCACTGGGAACAATGGGAAACACTTGAAGGCCCATTGGAAATGCCGGGAATGCCAATTGACTTCCATGGGCTCCATTGAAATACACTGCAGTACAAATAGAGTTGCAAAGAAAATGCGGAATGGATTTTCCATAAGGGTCTCTGGGCCCAAATAGACTACTCTGGGACTGGAATGACAGGACCCAGGTTGGAATGACAGCCCCTGAATATAGCAGGAGTGGTCTTGGACGGGAATGACAACCCCCAGAGAGGAATGGAAGCCCCTGTGGGTAGCAAGACGGAGTGTTCTGTGACTAGAATGAGAGACCACGGAGTGGAATGACACCGCCTCAGTAGCAGGAGTATTCTGGGAATGGAATGATGGACCCCAGAGTGGAATGACAGCTCCTGGGGGTAGCTGGAGAGTTCTGGAACTGGAACAACAAGCCCCAGAGTGGAATTACAGCCCCTGGGGGTAGCAGGAATCTAAGAAACGGTGTTGAAGGAAAGCATAAATGTTAACGTGGCATAGTAGGATCCTACTTACAGCAAACTAAACACAGTCATTCAGACCCTGTTTCCTAAAGAGGTACCCAAGTAACCTTGCAAAGCCTTTTGTCCAGTGCTACCCCATTGTTTGCTTAGAAAAGCCCTCTTAGATAATTCAGTTTTGCTTCGTCTGTGGAAAGGCAGGCGAGTGGGTGCCTTCCTGACCCCCTCAGACAGACCATTCATGGGGGCCAGAGCGGAGAAGGCCGGTGGACAGGCCAGCCAGCGGAGGGACTGTGGAAGGGCAGTGAGTCATCTAGCCCCTAATAATGGCTGAGGCCTGGCATTCTGCGCCAGCTGGAGTTTCTGAATTGGTTTTATGTAAGGTACAGGGCATTGATCAAGTGTAGTCTCCATGTCACTGTGGCAGTTCAGTTTCAACTTGTTCACTCTTAGCCAATGAACCACAGCAGCCAGGAAGCAGTTGAGGACCTCTGCCCCATCCTTGCCTCCTCCTCCTGCTCCTGTTTGCCCCCCAGCAGCCCCTGTGTGCCCTGACTGGGAGAGGCCCCTCTGCCCCGTCCCCTTGGCTGGCTGCTTGGGCAGAGCTCTTGACCAGCCCTCCTGGCCTGTGGAGGAGCTCCCTGCAGTGGTTAAGCCCTTACCAGTTGCTTTGTCCCGGGATCCAGTTTACCTAGAGTTGCACCCATTAAACAGAATGGTCCCCAGGTACTGGAGGCCCTCATAACATCCACCAAAGAATTTTAAAGAGCCCAATAGAGATGTTTTTCTTTCCTGAAGGACCAAAGAAGCATAACCTAAAAAGCTTGATACTTAACATAACTCAATGACCTTAATCCTGACCCACAAACTACAACACAGACACTCCTTCTGATCCACTTAGGTCTGTCTTGACCAGGTCACTGATATAACTCAGCTCTCTTTTGGTTTCTTTCTGCCTTTTTGATATCTTTCCTTCTTCATAGGCAAGTGAATAAGAGTGTCTTTCCACAGTCAGAGGCAACCCAAGAGAAAGGGAAAGGGGATGGAAGAGGAGGACCCAGAAGGCCCTGGAACTGGCAAGAGATTGAGAAAAGGGAGTGGTGCTGAATTCTGGGAAAGAGCTCTGCCAGAGACCTTGGCTCAGGACACTGTGAGCACAAATGTATGCAGCCGACGCTTCCGGCAGTTCTGTTACCACGAGGCAGATGGGCCCCGAGAGGTTTGCAGCCGGCTCCATGGACTTTGCAACCACTGGCTGAAGCCGGAGAGGAACACCAAGAGGCAGATCCTGGACCTGGTGATCCTGGAGCAGTTCTTGGCCATTCTGCCCCAGGACATGCAGTGCTGGGTCAGAGGGTGCGGGCCAGAGACCAGTTCCCAGGCGGTGGCCCTGGCCGAAGGTTTCCTCCTGAGTCAGGCAGAGGAGAAGAGGCAGGCAGAGCAGGTGAGGGGTTTTCATGCACTCAGTTCAAGCAGTGACCTTATCCTAAGGCTTCCTGTCAGGTATTTCTGTGTGTGTGCGTGTTGACTGCCATCACTTTGCTTCCGACTTATGGCGACCCTGTAAATTAATGTCCTCCAAAATGTCCTACCGTTAAGAGCCTTCCTTGGGTCTTACAAACTGAGGGCCATGGCTTCCTTGATTGAGTCCATCCATCCCATGTTTGGTCTTCTTTTCCTGCTTTCAACTTTTCCTAACATTATTATCTTTGCCAGTGACTCTTGTCTTTTCTTAATGTCACCAAAGTACAGTAGTCTAATTTTAGTCATTTTAGCTTCTAGGGAGAGTTGAGGTTTGATTTGATCTAGAACCCACTGATTTGTCTCTTTGGTGGTCCACGGTGTCCATAAAAACTCTCCTCCAATACCACAACTAGGAGCTGGTTTGGTGTAGTCGTTAAGAGCGGCAGACTCTAATCTGGAGAACTGTGCTTGATTCCCCACGCCTCAACATGCAGCTGGCTGGGTGACCCTGGGTCAGTAGCTGTTCTCTCAAGAGCAGTTTTCTCAGAGTTCTCTCAGCCCCATCTACCTCACGGGGTGTCTGCTGTGGGGAGAGGGAGGGAAGGAAAGCTGCTCTCAGACGCCGAGTAAAGGGCAGGATATAAATCCAATCCTTGTTCTCCTTCCCCCCTACATGTAGTAATCGGAACTACTGGGGCATGAATTAACTGAATCTTGGTCACCAGTGACACATCCTCACACTGGAGAATCTTTTTTAAGCTCCTTCTGGGCTGCCCTTCCCAGCCTCAGTCTCCTGAGTTTTTGCTTCCTGTCTCCCGTTTGGTTGATGATGGAGCCAAGGAACAGAAAATCTCGAGCAATTTCTTCATCATTAACCCTAAATTTCTGAAATTCCAGACTAGTCATTACTTTTGTCTTCTTGATGTTCAACTGTAATCCTGCTTTAGCGCTTTCTGCTTTAACCTACATTGGTAGTTGTTTCAAGATTTCACTATTCTCTGCTGTCAACTGCATATCTCAAATAGTTACTGTTCCTTCCGCCAGTTTTCACTCCTCCTTCATCTAAATCAAATCCACCTTTCCTTATGATATGTTCTATATATAGATTGAAGAGAAAGGGAGATAAAATACATCGTGGTCTGAGACATATGCCAGTTTGGAAACCATTCTGTTTTTCCATCTTCTGTCCTAAGATTGCTTTTAATATTGTATGCCAATAAAAGGTATTTGAATTGAATTGAATTGACTGGTCTCTTCTTCAGAGTACAGGTTGCGCATCAATGCACAGTTCTTGTGGCAGACTCATTTCTTTTAAAACCAGCAATAGCTTTTCATGATCCACACAGTCCAAAGCTTTGCTGTAATCTATGAAACACAAGCTGGTTTTCTTCTAAAATTATCTCGTATGCTTCAGTAACCAACCTAAATTTGAGATAAGATCTCAAGTACTTTGTCCTTTTCTGAATCCAGCTTCAGTATGGTAACAGTCTTTGTTGTAAGATTTTGAGTATCACTTTACTTCCATGAGAAATCAATGCCAACTGGAGTTATGTTATAGGCCTGATATATCCTTGGAATGGTTTACCACGACTATCTATTTTCTAATGTCTATTGGATTGTATTAATATTGGGAATTGCTTTTAATATTGTATGCCAATAAAAGGTATTTGACTTGACTTGAGAAATCAATGCGAAGGTCCAGTAGTTGCTGCAGTCTTTGATGTCTCCTTTTGTCAGAATAGCAATGTAAAGTGAGTGTTACCAGACTGTGGGCCATTGTTTTGTTTTCTATCTTTGGTAGCATATTCTTGTTAAGAATTTGAAGGACTCCTTTTCTGTGCCTTGGAATAGTTCTATTGATATCCCATCTACCCCTGGTGATCTGTTTCTCCCCATTGCTCTCAGTGCAGTTTCCCCTTTACTTTCTTAAACCGTTGGTTCTGCTTCAAAAGATTTTTCTGGAAAGGAATCTGGCATCCTTTCATCTCCTTAGTATAATTCCTCCATGTATTCTTCCCACTTTTTTCTTAAACATTTCTACCTGTAGATATTCCACTAGATATTTCCATTCCTTCTCTTACCTGCCTCTGTTGTTGTTTCAGATGTGGGAACGATCCGTGAAGATGGAAGCGAAGCTCTCTGAGGCAGAAGGAGCTCCGTCAGAGGAAAGTCAGAGGGCGCAGGCCCAGGAGGTTGCCCAAGATGCCCTGTCAAGTGGTAAGGGTGCCTCTTGCCTAAATGGGATCAGGGGACCTAGTTGAGTTGTTAGGAAGAAGGTTCAAGACAGGAGAAAAGGGGAATGCTTTTGAAGACTACATAGAATGGGCTTCTGGGACACAGAGTGCCATAGGATGTCGTGATGGCCAGTTTACATAAAAGGGAATTAAGATTCATGGAGGGCAATTCCATTCTTATTTACATCAATTAAAATATGCATCTCTCCCCTTCCTTCCATTAGAGGGTCTCAAGGTGGCTCAGGAAAGGAAAGGAAGTGAAATCTGGGTGCAGGTATTAGCCATGGTGAATAAATGGAAGGTCCACATTCCCCAGACCTGGATGGCCATGGCCGAGCTCATGGGTAGCTGATGCTTCTCTTCCACCTCTCCGACCCCTTACTAAAAACCAGTACAAATTTTCTTGAGTGTAAAAGAAGACAAGGTGTCATGATCCTGGGAATAGGAGTGGGTGATGCAGAATTCAAAGAAGCAAACAAAATAGTAACTTGAGGTTAACGTTTATTCTTCCAATTTTGCCTCCCTTGCAGGCAGTGAAGAGATGTTGTCAACCTGTCGTCTTTTCAGAGGAGTGGAAACGGCTGCTTCATCTCTGGTCCAGGTAGAGGGAGGGAAGATTGCGGCACAGTCAGGTCCCCTCTCCTTTCTCAAGGGAGGATTTGGGTCCTGCTGACCGAGGAGAGACAAGCTCTGAACCCCACTCTCTTTACGTATGCTCAACTCTACCTCCTGCACCCTCCCAGAATGCCCCTGTGGAGAGTGTAGTCTCTGCCTGAACGGATCTCTGACGAGGGAATCTGCTTCTCCTTTCAGGCTCCCTTTTCCTTTGAGGAGGTGGCCGTGTATTTCACTGAGGCCGAGTGGGCCTTGCTGGCTCCTGGCCAAAGAGCTCTCTACAGGGACGTCATGCTGGAGAACTATGGGAGCGTGGCCTCTCTGGGTAAGATCTCTGCTAAAAATGAAAGGTCCAATAAATTCCTGACTTGTCTTCCTGACAACTTCATTTCCCAGAAAGTGGAGAGGGAAACAAGGGGACCTGCTATCTTGGACTTGATTCTTATGAACAGGGAAGAACTGGTTGATGAGGTGAACGGAGTGGGCACCCTGAGTAGTAGTGACCATGTAATTTTGGAATTTAGAGTCCTGGGGAAGGTAAATGCTATACGTAGTCAGACATATAGGCTGGACTTCAGGAAAGCAAAATTGACAACATTAAAGTTATGCTGGATAGAATCCCATGGTCAGAAATACTTAAGGAGAAGGGAGTTCAAGCAGGATCGGAGTTTCTCACAAGTGATATACTGAAGGCACAACCACGAACGATTCCTATGAGAAGGAAAAATGGGAGAAGCCTAAAGAAGCCAAGGTGGCTCCATAAACAGCTTTCTAAAGACTTGTGAAATAGAAGAGACTCATTCAGAACGTGGAAGGAGGGCCTCATAACCAAGGAAGAATAGAAACAAATAACCAGTGCTTGTAGAGAGAGAGTTAGGAAAGCCCAAAGCTAGCAAGAGATGCTAAAAACAACAAAAAAGCTTTCTTTTCTTATGTTCAAAGTAAGAAAAAGAGCAAGGACATGGTAGGCCCATTGCGGGGACAGGAAAATGACATTGTTACAGGTGATGAAGAGAGGGCAGAAATCCTCAATTCCTACTTTTCCTCAGTCTTGTCTTGCAAGGGAAATGGTGCTCAATATGGCAAAAACAGAACAGGAAGGGAGCTGCAGCCTAGGATCAGCATAAGGGTAGTACATAAACACCTAGTTTCTTTAAATGAGACTATGTCCTCGGGGTCAGATGAACTGCATCCAAGGGTACTAAAAGAACTCACAGATGTCATTTCTGAGCCTCTGTCCATTATTTTTGAGAATTCTTGGAGAACTGAAGATTGGAGGTGGGCAAATGTTGTCCCCATCTTCAAGAAGGGGAAAAAGGAGGATCTGGGTAACTACTTACCCATCAGCTTGACATCTATACTTGGGAAAGTTTTAGAACAAATCATCAAACAGACAGTCCTTGAGCATTTAGAAAGGACACTCTGATTACTAAGAGCCATCATGGGTTTCTCAAGAACAAGTCATGTCAGATTAACCTTAGCTCTCTTTTTGAGAAAGTTATTACCTTGCTGGATCAGGGGAATGCTGTAGACATAGTTTATCTTGATTTCAGTAAGGGTTTTGATAAGGGTCCACATAATATTCTTGTTGACAAATTGGGACAATGTGCTTGGATCCTATGACTGTTAGGTGGATCTGTAACTGGTCGACAGATCACACCCAAAAAGTGCTTGTAAATGGTTCCTCATCTTCTTGGAGAGGAGTGACAAGTGGAGTGCCTCAAGGATCTGTCCTAGGACCTGTTTTGTTCAACATCTTTATCAATTATTTGGATGAAGGAATAGAGGAAATGCTTATTAAATTTGCAGATGATCCTAATTTGGGAGGGGTAGTAAATATGGTAGAAGACAGAGTCAGGATACAGGATGATCTTGACAGGCTGGAAAACGGGGCTAAAACAAATAAAATGAATTTCAATTGGGATAAATGTAAAGTCCCGCATTTAGGTTGGAAAAATCAAATGCATAATTATAGGTTGGGGGAGACTTGTCTTGGCAGTAGTATGTGCGAAAAGGATGTAGAGGTCTTAGTATTCCATACAGTGAATATGAGTCAGCAGTGTGATGCAGCTGCTAAAAAGGCAAATGTGATTTTGGGCTGTATCAACAGAAGTATAGTGTCCAGATCATCAGATGTGATGGTTCCACTTTACTTTGCTCTGGTTAGACCTCACCTAGAATATTGTGTTTAGTTTGGGGCACCACAATTTAAGAAGTATATAAAGAAGCTGGAACATGTCCAGAGGAGGGCAACAAAGATGGTGAGGGGTCTGGAGAACAAGTCTTATGAGGAAAGATTGAAGGAGCTGGGTGTGTTTAGCCTGGAGAGGAGACAACTGAGAGGTGATATGATAACCATCTTCAAGTACTTGAAGGGCTGTCATGCAGAGCATGATACGGAGTTGTTTTCTGTTGACTCAGAAGGTTAAACCAGACACAATCTGTTGTAATTAAATCAGAAGAGTTTTCGGCTAAACATTAGGAAGACCTGACAGTCATTTATTTATTTATTTATTTAGAGCAGTACCTCAGTGGAACAGGCCTCCTCGAGAGGTGGTGGGCTTTCCTTCTTTGGAGGTGTTCAAGCAGAGGCTAGATGGCCATCGGACAGCAGTGCTGATTGTGTGAACTTTGGCAGATCATGAGAGGGAGGGGCAGGAAGGGTTGCCTCAGTGCTTAGCTCTTGTGGCCCTTTCTTACATGCCCAGGGAAATGCTGCTTGGCACTTTGAGGTCAGGAAGCAATTTTTCTCCAGGCCGGATTGGCCAGGGATTCTGGAGGTTATTTATTTATTTATTTATTTATTTATTTATTTATTTCACTTTTACCCCGCCCTCCCTGCCAGGCAGGCTCAGGTTTAGGGACACATTCGGCAGTACTGCCGCATTAGATCGTATAGGATCGGAGTTCGCAACAGGGCACTGCTGGTAAAACGTCACTCCTATCAGAACGCCTGCCTGAAAAGTTCTGTTTTCACGGCCCTGCGGAACTGTGACAAGTTCTGCAGGGCCCTGATCTCGGCAGGGAGCTCATTCCAGTAGGACGGAGCTACAAACAAAAAAGCCCTCATCCTGGTTACCATCTGCCTGACGTCCTTAGGGCCAGGGAGGTCCAGGCGGTTTCGTTTTGGGAACCTGATCGCAGTGCTCTCTGGGGAACATACGGGGAAACACTGGTCACTGCGGGTGTGGAGGGGGAGGTATTTGTGAATTTCCTGCATTGTGCAGGGGGTTGGATTAGAGGACCCTGGAGGTCCCTCCCAACTCTATGATTCTATGTTAAAGGTGCAAATTACTGCCATTGGGATGATGCATGAATCGAAATATTGAAAAGCAGCATGTGGTTGTGAGGACTGCCTGGCTACCCCCCCCCACCCCCGCTGGGGGCCTCAAGGAGGTTGGGGTGGCAGTGAAAGTGATGGCTGAGCATGGCCAGTGTTGTCCCCCCCCCCCCCGCAAAAAAAACCCGGACTGTATAGAGGACTATGGTGGAGACAGACCAAGTCCTTGTGTTTGAAGAATGGCTGGCGAGTTTCTCAGGAAGATCTCAAGAGACTATTTCCTTACCAAATGAACTAGCTGCAAGTGAGTATCCTTCATGGTTATGCCAAGGGACCTTTCCTCTTCATTTCTAAGCGACTCTTGGGTTGGTGGAATTCTCAAGTTCACTGGGTAAGGAGGGAGGGAGGCCTTCTGGGGTCTGGGATCTGGGGGCTCATAAGCTCCTTCTGGGGCTGAGCTCAGCTGTAGCTATTGAGTGGCTGCACTCTCCTTAGATACTGGATATTCCAGGAAAAGGGGGGGTTTACCTGAGAAGAGCCCTGGTGGACGAGGCCAAAGGCACATCTAACCATTCCTACAGCAGTCCCCGGGATGTCTTCAGGTCTTCCTATTAGGTGGAGATGGGTTTGAGTGCTTTCTGTGGAGCTGTTCTACCTTACAGGGGTGGCCTGCTGCAGGTAGTCCCACCAGTTAACACTGCCACCCAAGGGTAAGTGGCTTCCGGCAAATTACACAATAACCTCTGTTGTGGTGTGTTATTGAAGAGTTTCCCACTGAAACTGTCAGCCCCAGTAACACAAAGTCAGGTTCTCCGTTGAAGCACAGTTTGTTTGAGCCAGAACAGGATAGAGGAAGCACTGTAGTCACCTTCCGTCTCCCCAAGAGGGAAGCGACCGACTCCTTCCCAAAGGCGAAGTCCCTTCCCCGCCCCTTGAGGCAGGAAACCCATCTGCCAAAGAAAAGCACAAACACACACAGAAAAGCCAGGAATACCTGTCCACTCAGCGTGCCACGATGCCCGAGTTTCTCCGAGGCCGGCCAGCCCCATTTCCCCCTTTCCCCAGGGAAGAGGGTTGACAACTATGACAACCCTCTGCTGCTCTAAGGGTCTGCCAGACTAACTTCCCCACATTTACATTACATCACCCTGGTCATGTTGAACACCTGGATAACTGCACGCTCGCTGCCTGTTCACAGTGTATTCCAGGTATTTTGGAAGGATGGAACAGGACAGAGTCTTCTGGGGTCTTATCTGGACTCTTTGACACTGCGTGTTCCTCTGGGATGGGCTTCCAGAGGGCCCTACTCTGCTGTAGCAAATTAATGACCTTAAGGCCCAATAATCAGTCTTCTGGCTCTCTCTTGCTGGCAACAAAATACACTTCTTTCCAGAGAGACAGGCTGTCTCTGTGCTTCTAGGAAAGGCAGAAATGTCTGGATGATTCAGATGTGGCTGTGCTTTAGACAGGCCCAGCTAAGGTGCAGAGAACGGCTCAGAAACAGCAAGAAAATGTCTCTGAGCTTGAGAGAGGTGGCCCTACACTGCAAGGTTGGTTTTCTAATCTGTCATTACATGTCTCCCCCCCCCCCCCAACAAACAGCAACTTTCTCAGAAACCATGGGGGCCCACTTTGAACTGCGGGGTTCACTTGGTGAGCTCCTGGCTTCTCTCCTCCCCCCCCGGAAAACATGCATTTTGGGGAGGCTGAAAAACATCTCCGCCTGGCTGTGTTGACAACTGGAAGGAAACTCTCAGTGCAGTTGCAGGACTGGATCTCTTGATAACCTCTTGTATTTAATAGTTAAGTGCAGAGAATCAAAAGCCAAAAAGCATGGCAAGTCAAATGGGAACGGGTGGTGGTGGTGGGGATCAGTTTTTTTGCCACTTGTCCCTGTTGGGGGAATTAAGAGTTCACCAGGAGCTTTTCCTAGGAATCCCGTCCCCACCTGGCTCGACGGGAGAGGGGAGTTGAAACTAGCAGGAACCCCCTAGTTTCAGAGAGAGAGAGAGAGAAGAAAACCTGTTCCAAAGTCTCTGTGATTTATTGAAAGAAAATTGTACTGCACCACTTTCCAAGAAAGTAGCAATTTCAGTATTCATCTCACAGAAGGGAAAGGAAAACCAGTACTTATAAACAAATATTGCACTTATTATTCATTTAGGAATTATTATTTATTTGGGAAGGCATTCTGGCCACTCTAGCAACATCTGGCCACAGTGTTGGCAGAGGGCCCATAGCATCTCAAACACTGGTGTTAAATACCTTTAGAATCCAGGATAGCTGTCAATCAAGAAATCGGATAGTCCCAACGAAACCAAGACTCCTCCCTTTTCTGGCCAGAAGACTCTGGCCGGAGTAATTGAATTCCTAGGTTAAAAACACCCTCCCTGTCCAGGCCGGAGCTTGGAGCCACTGGTCCTCATATCTAGATGCTTTGGCTTTGAGGCTGGAACTGAGAAATATAGAGTTCTTATGGAGCAGAGTGCAGGGTGCATTGCCAGGCTGAAGAGCCTCCTGCAAAGCTTTATGGGAGGGAACCAAACAGAGAGGCCTGAGACAATTCAGGCTGCTTTACAGAACTGCCGCATCATGCTTATAATTCTGCCACATTCCCCTTAAATGAAATTGCTGAGCAGTCGGGTTAGAATGGATAAAGGGAAGTACTTCTGCACCCGAAGAGTGATTCACACATGGAATTCACTGCCACAGGACGTGGTGGTGGCTACAAGCATGGAAGGCTTCAAGAGGGAATTAGATAAACATATGGAGCAGAGGTCCATCAGTGGCTACTAGCCACAAGGTATAGATAGGGACTCTCAGTCTGGGGCAAGTTATGCTCTATATTCCTGGTGCTTTGGGGGGGGGTGTCAACAATGGGAGGGCTTCTAGTGTCCTGGCCAGTGTTCCCTCTAAGCTGAGTTAATGTGAGCTAGCTCACAGTTTTTTAGCCTCTGGTTCACACATGGTCACTGGCCTGATCCAACATGGGCTTCTCTTATGTTCTTATGCTTTTAAAACATATATGGGAAGTTTGGGGAGAGGAGAGACATAGAATATAAAAAGAGCTCTACGGGAGGGCCAAGCAGGGATAAGATGTGACCAGCATCTCAGTTTGGGAGGAAAGATGATCTGATAACAGAAATGCACCCCCATTCCTGAGCAGTGCTTGACTGGTGCCTTGGCGTCTTGCCTGGGTGATGATTGACACTCTTCCTTTATTCCAGCAGCAGATGTAGAGGAGGCAGCTGGGGAGTTCCAGGGGTTCTCTTTGGAAAAAGTCAAGAATGGAGATGCCGAAGGACACTTTGGAGATGGAGATGGACCCCAGGGGCAGGAGGGAAGCCAAGCAGGTAAGAGGAGGGATCAGCCCATTCCTTACTGAGGAGGGGGTTTCTGTGAAATCCCAGTCCAAGAAGAGAGGTCAATCAAAAAGAGAAGGAACAAAGGCCTCCATCCTAACCAGAGAATCCACTCCAGGGGAAATGAAAGTGTGGCCTTGGCAAAGACCTTCAGTCAGAGAATGAACACAAATTCCCTTAGGAGAGAAGCCATATAATTGATTGCAGTGCGGAAGGAGCTTCAGTCAAACAAGATCCCTTACTTCACACCTAAAAAGCCATATAAACAGTCCAAACCAAGAATCTCTCGTGTAGGAGGCTTAATGTATCATGGAATTATAGTGTTTGAAGGGACCTCCAGGGTCATCTAATCCAATCCCTTGCACAATGTAGTACATTCACAAATACCTCCCCCCACAACCCCAGTGACCCCTCTTCCATGCCCATTATTTTTAAAGTATATATTACTGTACATTTCAGCATACAGCAGGAAGAAGGTACTGTAATATTTGGATTGCAGATGGAAATTCAGGTGCAGATCAGAACTCCTTGTGTGCGTTCTAACAGGATCTCTTTCTTTATTCCAGCAGGGGATGATCAGAGGAATGAGGATGAGGAACGGCATCCTCTATCGCCAGATGAAGTGAAGAATGAGGACTTGAGAGGAAACTTCCGAAGCCAAGTTGGACGTAAGAGGCAGAAAAGACGCCACATCATCCAGAAGGGAGGTAAACCCATTCCTTGCCAAGGGGGGGATTTCCAAGAAGTAATTCACACGGTGAAGGAAACATGCAAGTGCTTGGTGTGTGGAATGAACTTCTCAGATCAATCCCAGTATAATGTCCATTTACGAGTGCACAGCAGACAGAAGACCCATCGATGGCTGGAGTGTGGAAAGACCATGATTCGAAAAGCAGAGCTCCATGGACTTCAAAGAATACATGGAGGAGAGAAACCATATCGCTACTCAGACTATGGCAAGAAATACTCAGAGAAATCAGACCTCATTCAACACCAAAGGATTTATTCAGGAGGGAAGAAATGTATTTGCTCAGAGAGTGGACTGATGTTCTCTATGGGAGGAAAAGGTAATAAACATTTTCCAAAGCACAGTGCAATGAATGCATGTAAATGCTTTTGGTGTGGAAACTATTTTAAATACAGATCACAGCTCCTTGTGCACCAAAGTATCCATAGAGGGGAGAAGCCTTCTGAATGCTCAGAATGTGGGAAGACATTCCGTCTCAGTGGCCATCATCAAGAACATCTAAGAACCCACACAGGAAAGAAGACTTTTAAATGCTCAGAGGGTGGGAAGAGATTTATTCAGAGTAGCCATCTTCAAAACTATCTAAGAACCCACACAGGGGAGAAGCCGTTTGAATGCTCAGAATGTGAGAAGAGATTCAGTCACAGCAGCACTCTTCAAAAACATCTAAGAACCCACACAGGGGAGAAACCTTTTCAATGCTCAAAATGTGGGAAGGGTTTCACTCAGAGTGGCCATCTTCAGAAACATATAAGAACCCACACAGGGGAGAAGCCTTTTGAATGCTCAGAGTGTGAGAAAAGATTCTGCCACAGTGGCCAGCTTCAAAATCATCTAAGAACCCACACAGGGGAGAAGCCGTTTGAATGCTCAGTGTGTGGGAAGAGATTCAGTCAGGGTAGCTCTCTTCAAAGACATCTAAGAACCCACACAGGGGAGAAGCCTTTTGAATGTTCAGAGTGTGGGAAGAGATTCACAGACAGTAGCACTCTTCAATATCATATAAGAACCCACACAGCGGAGATGCCCTTTGAATGCTCACAGTGTGGGAAGAGATTCAATCACCGTAGTGCTCTTCAATATCATATAAGAACACACACAGGGGAGAGGCCTTTTGAATGCTCACAGTGTGGGAAGAGATTCAGTCGCAGTGGCCATCTTCAAAGTCATCTAAGAATCCATACAGGGGAGAAGCCTTTTGAATGCTCACAGTGTGGGAAGAGATTCAGTCACAGTAGTGCTCTTCAAAATCATCTAAGAACCCACACAGACGAGAAGCCATTTGAATGCTCAGTGTGTGGGAAGAGATTCAGTTGCAGTAGCACTCTTCAAAGTCATATAAGAATTCACACAGGAGAAAAGCCTTTTGAATGCTCAGAGTGTGGGAAGAGATTCAGTTGCAGTAGCACTCTTCAAAGTCATATAAGAATTCACACAGGAGAAAAGCCTTTTGAATGCTCAGAGTGTGGGAAGAGATTCAGTTGCAGTAGCACTCTTCAAAGTCATATAAGAATTCACACAGGAGAAAAGCCTTTTGAATGCTCAGAGTGTGGGAAGAGATTCAGTTGCAGTAGCACTCTTCAAAGTCATATAAGAATTCACACAGGAGAAAAGCCTTTTGAATGCTCAGAGTGTGGGAAGAGATTCAGTCAGAGTAGCAGTCTTCAAAAGCATCTTAGAAACCACACAGAGGAGAAGCAGTTTGAATGTTCAGAGTGCGGAAAGAGATTTAGTCAGACTGGCTTGCTTCAAGAGCATCAAAGAACCCACACCATGTAACTTCTCAGCTCAGAGGTGTTGAACTCATTTGTTACGAGGGTCAGATCTGACATAAATGTCACTTTGTTGGTCTGGGCCGTGTGTGCCAGAGATATAAAGTTCAGAAAGGACACAGGAAACCCAATTAACAATATTATTTTTTACTCAAAATACAAATATCCTTAAAACATTGAAGAGCATTTCCTTTATTGAATGGTCTTTGATAGCTGACACCTCTTGCTCTGAATCATTGCATGAAAATCTGGAGTCAATGTCTGTGTTGTAGCAATCTTGAATATGCTGTTTAGGTACATATCTGTAAGCTGCTAACGTACTTTTGATTTATAGGAATTTATTACAGAAAAGAGTATTTATGACAGGAAAGATTTGTGGCATCCTTTCCTTTGGAGGTGGAAAGATGAAAGAAAAGGGTTTGTTCAGCAAAGAAGATGATGAAGGAAATCCTGAGGGTGGATGACATTTTCATAGCGTGTCAAAAACTTTGTCCCGTGGGGCACCTGTTTTGGTTTGTCTCCCATATTGTTAATTTAATATCTTCTTGTATTGTCTCTATATCTTTAAGATTATTGTTTTTATCTAATAACTTATTGTATGGTTGCATCTTCTCATTAGTCATCATTGTTGGCATAATAAATGCCTCTAACAGAGAGACCCATCTAGGAATTTTATTATAAAATTTTTCTTTTATTTTTTTCCATATCTTAAACAGTGGGCCTCTTAATTAATGGTTTTGGAAATTGGGATGTATTTTCTCTTTATTATACCATACATATGCATGGAGTCCCATGTATAAATCATGACATTCTAGTTTTAATGCTCTTCGATTTTCCAAGTTCAGCCAATCTCTAATCCAAGTAGCTGCTGCCGCTTGATAATAGCAGTACCAATTTGGTAATCACAATCGTGGGGCACCTGTTTTAAGAAGAAACATAAGATGCCCTTTAAAACGATGGGTATGATCAATCAATCAATTTTATTTTAACAGTCAATGACCATTCTGGCCGTCCTTCTTATGTGACAAATGGTGTCACATAAGAAGGACTCCAGAAACAGTTTAAACCCAGTTGAAAAAAGGTTCATGTTTATCACTGTTACTGAAAAACAGAAGCTCCAAACAATTACTGACGGTTCCGAAGGCTACTATGGAACTGAGAGGAGAAGCAAACAGCTCAGGCTGGCCTCCGAAAAGCACATTTGCTGATTGATGTTGAGTTCTTCATGGAGATGGCAATAGCAAGTCTTGCCTCTGCCTGAAGCAGGCCCTGTGCTGAAAAAGACCAGGGATTAGTGCTGGAAGACTACAGCAGGGTGATGGAACTAAGGCAGCTGGATCACTGGGTCGGCCTTGAGAACTGGGCATGAGCAAGAGGGCTTGGAGCCTAGAGCAACGGAGAATCGGTCCTGACCTGAAGAAGAAGAAGAGTTGGATTTATAGCCCTCCCTTCACTCGGAGTCTCAGAGCAGCTTACAATCTCTTGAGAGAACAGCTCTGAGAGAACCGTGACTGATTCAAGGTCACCCAGCTGGCTGCATGTGGAGGAGTGAGGAATCAAACTCATTTCTCGAGATTAGAGTCCACTGTTCTTAACCACTACACCAAACCAGGGTAGATAACGAAGCTCAGCAGGCCTGAAGCACAACTCCTTTGTTGTCCCTGAACAAAACTACCAAGAAAAAGAAACTCCACCCACTTCAGCAGTTCTCCAAAACTTCAGGGGCTGAAGAGGTCCAAACAAGCCCATCTGAAAGACACGATACCCTCCAGATACATTACACCTTCTTCAATGAGCCACTGAGAATGGCTCCAGCCACCATTAGGGAGAAGACCAGCCACTGCTCTTTGCATCCCATGTTTTCACAAACTCTGAACTCAAAATCATTCGAGAAGAGCAGACCCTCACTGCCGTGAATGATGCCTGACTTAATTTAGGGATCTCGTGGCAGAACAGCACATATTTTTTCACACTGCGATCCCTGCGTCTTCGGCACTCTCCGAATCAGGCCACAGGGCACTGCATCCTCGCTGGATCCCAGTGGGCAGGGCAAAGGAGTGTTCAAGATGTCTCTTGTATTTATGACCCACCCTCTCACCCCTGCAATAGACTCCCAAAGTCCATCTCCCTGCAGAAATGGGGAGGCTGAGTCTTTCCCTCATGGCAGTCTAAAAATGTCTTTTATACAGGTGGCAGCAGCATCCAAGCCTTAGGAACAAAGCAAGCATATTCTGCTGGATATGCATATATTAAGGGTGTCTTTACTCACAAAAAGGAATTTGTTTTACTGGAAAAGAAATCTTTCCAGCACCAGATGTTGCAGCCCAGTCTGCTGAATTGCTGGTGGTTCTGGAAGTGGTGAAAGTTGTCCCTTCAGGCCTTTTGGAAGCAATATGGCTTCTGTGATTCCAGAGGCGAGCCAATGAAAGCCAAACGGACCTGGTAACGATGAGCTGACCTCTTATGAGAGGAAGTAACTTTATGTTTACCTTTTATGTTGAATTGTATAATTATTAATTTTTTAAAAAAGTAAAAGCACATCAAACTCGGGGTAATCCCTAAATTTACACCTGTGTCTTAAAGGATGGTTGATATTAGGAAGTGAAGAACATAAGAGAAGCCATGTTGGATCAGGCCAATGGCCCATCCAGTCCAATACTCTGTGTCACACAGTGCCCAAAACCCAGGTGCCATCAGGAGGTCCACCACTGGGGCCAGAACTCCAAAAGCCCTTCCACTGTCGTCCCCCAAGCACCAAGAATACAGAGCATCACTGCCCCAGACACAGTTTTCCATAAACCTTGTGGCTAACAGCCACGAACGGACCTCTGCTCCATATCTTTATCCAATCCCCTTTCTCCCCAAAGCTGGAGACAAGATAGTACCTCCTTGTTTTATGCGTAGTTCTCTATTCAAAGAGGCTTATGAAGGATTGGGTTTCCTCCACCTGGGGCACAAGGGCACTGTCCTTGTGCTCCAGGGTAAATACTGGTGGCCCAGCCTGGCTAAAGATGTTGCCCGCTATGTGGCTAACTGGAAATCAGGTTTGTTGGTGAATCCCTCAGACATAGCCAAACCCTCACCCAGGCTCCCTCCCCAAGGGCACCCAACCTTTTGAGAGTCTTTATATGGGTCGCATAGGGCCACTGCCTCTGGCACATGGCCATTGATATTGTCATTGTAGCTTCTCTGGCCAAATTGACATGGGTCATTGTCCAGAAGGAGTTAACAGCTAGGGCTGAGGTCATGGCTTTAAGGCCTTGTATCAGTATTGACACACCACAGACCGTCCACACAGAAAGCGGTGCCGATTTCGCTTCAGCAGAATTTATGGCAGTTGCTGCTCTGATGAACCTCACAGTAGGGCACAGCTGTTAATCCTATGTGTAATCTAATGGATTTGTGGGGTTTTAGATATTTGGTGATAACGTGGGACCTCTCCAAGAGCTTACTGTCAACTACCCTCTCCAGGAAAATGTCCTTCCCTCTGTGCAGAGAAGTATTAATAATGTCTTAAAGGGTCCACTGCCAGGGACTCCTTATGACGGCAAAAGACTCCTTATGAACTGCTCCTTGGGATCCAAATGCCCACTAAATTGGATGTTTTCCCCAATAATTCTTCTTGAGAAGCAGTTTTAGCTCATTTACAAGCTATGCGCCTCAAATTACAGTCTCTGACTGAGCTTCCTCCACAGAAATCTCCTCCAGCTGGACCCCCGTGTATTCCAAAGGTCGTCTCTGCCTGCTTGGCTCTGCTCTGCGTGGCTCC